CAAATCAAAAAGTGATCTAAATGGTAGTCTTTTAATTCAGATCAAAGTCGATATCCCTTAAAATTTCAGTGGATATGCCAAATAACCCTCCAAATGGACACAAATCCGCCTCCCCAGCAAATCCCAAGTAGGAAGAAAACCAGAACACACAAAAATAGAAAATCTAGGCTAACGAAGGAGCGCTAGGGAAAGGGTTTCTCACCTATGGCTCTTCAAATTATAATTACCGGCGAAGACGAAACGTCAATGTTTCCATCCAGGAACGGGTGGCCAATCAAGTCTAAAAACACGCAAATTAAAACGCACACCAACCAAATTCGAAGCTGACAGCATCATATAAACTCACGTATGCTGTATCAGAGTTATTGTAATGGAGAAGCATCAAATCGTTTCGTCTACAAAACTGAACAAAATACGAGGAAAGAAGCGAAACAAGACAAATCAAAGATGGATCTCAAATGGCGCGTTAACAAATCAGATCCAATTAAATAACCCGGCAAATTTTCAATATCCATACCAAATGGGACCCCAAAACAAAGTACGAACCCTTATTGGATTAAATCCCAATTAAACAGCAACATCCAACAAAACCATAAATAAATGATAAATCCGGTGAATCAAAAAAGCGATCTCGAGGCCTAGAACTAGATTAGGGTAAAAGTCTCTCACCTCGGTTCCTTCCGATCGGAATCGCCGAGGAAACTGACAGGAAAATGAAGGAGCGATGGCAGTGGTAGAGCAACATGTTCTTAGCCTTCTTTTATAGTGGTTCCACTGTAGAAAAATCCGGACCAGGTTAAATTTTTGTTAGAGTTGGTAGATAGAAAAAAAATATTAATTTCTTAGATATGATATTAGATGAAGTAAATCGATTTCGTGGATTGCACCATGCTGCCGTACATATAGTATAGTGCAATTTTCTTCATCATTTGTACGTCCGGACGATCGGACGATCGGATGATCGGACGGAAAATATTTTCTCATCACTGATGAATGTATTGAAGATATATATTATTCGTGTATTTGGGGTGCATTTAAATAGAATATCCTAATACACGCACACAGATGATCACATGTAATATTATCGTTGGATAACAACTATGTCCTAAATATCGATTGTTGTAAATTTGAATTCTAAAATTAAGAAATTTTATACATCACATATATTTTATATATGTATATATCTAATATTTTAAATTTTCATATATATCTGATGCTCTGAATATCGTTACTAAAATCTGCAAGTGCGTGTCCCTTATTTTCATGAGGAAGAATCCAAACATCGAGAAGAAACTTTAGGGAGCTCCAAGCTGTTAAGAATTTCCGAGCTCCATGATCATCAGAGTACTATCGCTCCGCTATAATTGTAGTTGGGAGCACTATTGCCTAGTTGCTACCATGAAAACACCGTCGCTCAGCCGCCACCACCATCAAATAACATTGTCAGATTGTTGTTGTCAGACCACTATCGTATGACCATCTCCACAAGACTGTGGTCATCTAGTCGCTGTTGCAGGCCTAGAATCACCGTCGTTGGACCAGAATTATTTGATCGCCCTCATCATCTTCGAGCCACCATCATTATAACAACATCGCCCAATCAATACTATAGTTACCAAATTGTCGTCGTAGGACCACCATTGTATTGCACCACCGCTCAGTCAACACCCAAACCCCTGAACTATGCTACCGACATGTTGTGGGCAAAAGAAAGTACATGAAGGACATAAGCTTGCAAACCCTGCAGGTTGTTCCATAGAAGAAACAATGAATCTGATCAAAATTGTAAAATCAAGTTGGTTGAATAGATAAACTATGAACAAATAACTAAATAAACCAAATACAACACCTAACAGGTGCGTTAATCTCAATCCCCAATAAATTTGCAATATTTTATTCACACTCTGTTTCTGTTCTAGCCAAGAGAACATCCTTAGCATCCATCTTCTTCAGATCCCCCTTTCTAGTTAACCCTTGCTTAAAAAGAGGATATATTGAAGGTGGGTCAAAACTAAGAATAAATTAAAAAAAAAATAAAATAGCTACAAAGATATTTATATTGAAAAATTATCGTAAGAGCGGATCAATTTAAAGCAGAT